CCTTTGACTAGTTATTATACAGGCAGTAATATTTTTTCTGTCAAGGACTCTGATTGGCTCTATTCAATAGCAATCAAATAACTGCTTGTTAAACTTAAAGAAAAGTGCCTATTTATGTCAAGGTATAAGAGTTAGCAATGTCAAAGTATTAAATCAGGATTCATAATTTTCCATGACATTGTGATTATGATGCTTGAAGTTCTTAGGTTCTTAAACCGTTTCTCACTGGCATATTTCCTAGTCATGGTTGTCTTCATAACTGAAATGATTCTCAACTGTTATTAAAACTGTCATATTTTAGTACCTTTGTTGTCTGATAACTGTCATATCAATTTATACAAATCTTATACATAAACTAGAAATATACTGTCTTTGTTCTGAGATGGTAAAAGAGATTTAACTAGCAGACAATAGCAATCAGATGTTAAAAAGAAATTCCTGATGTTTTGACTGAATTTGCATATTTCCTGGGTGAGTAAGAAGCTGTTAAAGATTTTCAATTGAGAACACCTGGCTTTATCATTCTGTGTTGACCCTCTTCCTTTGATTCTATCAATTTGTTTTTAAGATATCTTCCTCTATCTTGACTGGAGCCGCGGTGGCTCAGTGAGTTAGATGCTGGCTCGTTAATCTGAGGGTCCAGGGTGCAATCATAGGTTGAGACCTACCTAATTTTGTTTCTCTCTTTCTGATATTTTTTTCCCCGGATATTTTTCTTCTTCATTGTAACAAGTTATGGTTATCAAGAAAAAAAAGACACTTTTTGATTGGTTATAAATAACCTCATAAGATCTAAACTGTAGTTGAAAACTTGTTAGATTACAATGAGAATCACAAATTACAAAAATTTTAATCTAATTTTGAATTGATTTGACAAACAGTGACTCTTTTGAATGCACTTTACCATTCATATTTCAAATTTCAAATCTTAAAAGAAGTTGATTTGATTCTTATTGCCTGATATTTATGATTTCCAGACAAATTTTAATAGCTTTATAGAGTGTTAACAAGGTTTTGTCTGAATTTGCATATTTAACATGTGACTCAGAATAGCTAAACATAGATGTTTGACAGCTGTTGAAATTAGCTGTCTTTGTTTAGATATTATGTTAAACTTTCTTATGTGTTGGAATTAGATCTCTTGCAGATTCATGCATCCTTTGCAAATTGTTGTTTGTGTTTCTCATAAGCCTTCAAGAGATGTTCAGTGAGATCTTAATTGTTGTAACATTCATTTTATCAAAGTAACGTAGTAGAATGTGCACCTGATGACTGTGTGTTTGGTAACAATTTAGTTTTTTTTCTTAATTTTTTATGTATATTAGGGTCCATGATGGCATTGATTTGACCAATTCCAATTTTAAGGCAGATGTCTGTGCAATTCCATTAAAGCTAAGCTTTTTATCACAAATGCCAAATTATTTTATCAGCTTATATGGTTTAGTTGTTTCAAAATTCCGTTTATTTTTTTTTCACTGACAGTAATCAAACAATGTTCTTGATGTTGGTTCACTCCTATTTCAACTATTTCATTTACAAGTTTAAATTTAGGATGTGGTTGTTGTTTTAAATAACTCAAATTGTTACACACAAAGAGTTGTCAAGCTCTTGTTTGCTTTGTGTAATGTTACATTGTTGTTGTTTTCAAGGAGATATTTCAGGATTAAAAGGGGATTGTTCAGGAAATGATTTAGTGTAAGTTATGATAGTGAAAGTGTGTTGAATTGTCAAACACCTACTAGTTTATTTTTCACAAAATAAATCTTGAATTGTGAGGATTTTTATTGTCACACTAGATTAAAATGTAGGGTTTTTTTTTTTTTTTTTTACAGTTTTGGTACCAAATGTATTTAATGAGCATTGCACTTAATAAGTCATGGCTGGACAAGAACTTTTCTTGTATTGAAATACTGGTAGTTTATTAGTATGTTATTATGAAAGTAACTATTGGAATGCAACACCTTCTTTGTATATAAAATTTGCAACTGTAGGATATTGGACTAATTAACTGCAATTACAAAATATTTTAAAGAGATATAGAATTTCAGAGTTTCACGCTGTGTTATCTTCAGGCAACTGTTGTATTTCAGCCTCTGTCCTTACTAAAATTTGATATTATATATTTGCATTACTTTATAAAGATTATTGTATAAGTATGAAATCTATAAATTACCTAGCAGCTGACTGGAGTATTGAAATATTTCACTGTTTAATGAGGTTAATTCAATATATCTAGTATAATAATCAGAGTTGATTTATTTTATATCATAGATTTATAATGTCAGTATATCATTCTCATATAACATTTAATAAAAATACCCTGGTATACTGGAAAGAAATAGGCAAAATCTGTCTTGAGTAACTTTCAGTGTCCAGCATTCTGTGACCACCAAGAATCACTAGGTTATAGAGTCAGCCAACTGATCTCATGTAAAATAATAAGCAAAATCTGTCTTGAGTAACCACTTTTGTCCTGCGTTCTGTGACCACCAAGAAACACCAGCTTATAGAGTCAGCCAACTGATCTCATGTTAAATAATAAGAAAGATCTGTCGTGAGCAACCACTTATGTCCAGCATTCTGTGACTACCAAGAATCACAAGGTTATAGAGTCAGCCAACTGATCTCATGTTAAATAATAAGAAAGATCTGTCGTGAGCAACCACTTATGTCCAGCATTCTGTGACTACCAA